TGTTATATGCATATTTGTATAGTAATCTGTATTAAAAGTAATTTAAACTTCCTTCTCATTATTTTATAATGTTCTTATGTGTGGGTATTCAAAAAAGAATTGTTTCCAAGCATCCTGACCCAGTAAGATTTAACACTGAACTAAAATATGATGATTTTGTTGAAAAGTGTTGCCATAGGCACAAGTCAATACCAAGCAAAGTTCGAGCAACAAAACCAATAGTTAAAAAAGTATGTTCTCATTGAAATCTCTTGCAGCAGAGTTCAATATTGACTAAATGTTTCTAAAGCCAGCACAATCTTTGATTGCTGATATGAATATTTCACGCATGTCTTCTTCTGTTGTCAGGTGAACTGGCATTTTTAAGGATATATCACATGTTGAAACAGTGGGTCGACAGCGGCATGCTTCAGCACAACCATGGACAAATTTCACTGAAAACTTTTTGGGAAATCCAAGAGGAGGTATAGTTTTAGATCCTGTCATCCATTTGATGAAATCTTTCAAATAAATACCATCAATTCCTTGAAAAATGAAATCAAAGTTTAATCAGCTCTAATCAGATTGAGAGATGGTATCATGGTGGCATCGAGCCGACTATGTAACAATGTTCAATGACGTCAGTGCCTAAATTAAATCAACTTGTTTAGAACCACTCTTAAAAAGGTGTATTTACTCTATTCAGCTTTTTCTCAAATTCATCAAAATGCTTTTCTATTACATTAATACATTTGTTGTTTGTAATTTGGTAGTAAATTGGACCGAAAAAGTGGGTGCGGTATCTGGATCCTGATACGCTGTGGGTGCTCACTGCCCATTTTGGAGCCATTGTGTGACATGTTTGAATTGTTTTAATACTCAGGGGTGTGTTGTGTGCGTGTATGATTTGCCAAACTGATGCAAAGCCGAAATCGAGATCGTGCTGCAAACCGACCAAACACAATAAAACATATTGAATACAATAAAACTATATATTGAATACAATAAACCACTAGATACCCTGAAAATCTTGAAAATATGGTGAGATGTTGGTGGGGTAGTGTGGGGTGAAGTATGGTAATGTAGGGTAGGGTAAGGGTAAGGTAGGGGTATAATTTTATCGCAATGATTTTATGAGAACTTATCCGGATGAATCATGAGTGTGATGAGGCAAATCTCAAATGAAATCAAATTCAAGAATAATTCGGTCAATGTTATCCACCACAACTTCGCTTTGGCAAATAAACTTCACCTTAGTCTGAATAATTAAAAATTATTAGATGAGAATGTAGATCTATGATTTGATTTGTGATATTTATGATTTGATTATGATATGAGACTTTATGATTACATTGTGAAGAGGTAAAATAGAATTATACTGAGACAACACTCACCATCATCTAAAAGTAGTACCATATCGGAAAAGAACTTGTACGTTGTAATCTCTTTCTCCCGTAGCACCTGTGAAGTGATGTATTCCACAACAGCTTCATCTAGGAACTTCTCACTATTCATCTGAAATTCCAGGCTTGGTTGGAATAACACTTTCCAAACACTTGGAAATTCCTGGATTGACTGCAACACATTACAAACAGACAACCCTTCTTCCAGTTGCATCAACTGCGGCAAAAATGCTGAAAACTGATCTTGTTTGATCTACAATTGAAATGCAGAAGATAAAATTGTTACATACCGGTAGTGCTAATGATTGGCTGCTCAAGGAGGATATTCAGAATTATGCCACAAAAATTGCATAAAATCCATGTCAGTTTGAACTTCTGCAATATGATTGAATAGTGAATTATAATAAAACAAATATTATTAGTAAACATGGTTATCCCAAAATATTACAATTTGTCTTTAACAACGTCATATGTAAATAATTGGTCTGACAAATCCAGGTCTACTTTTAATTGGCCAATCTTGTCCAATAATTGTATCTTAATTATTATTAACACGAAACATCGGCTTGATAATTAGCATTTTCCCAATAGAGCAGAGTACTGGGTCTAGTTGTGAACCGCAAAGCACCTATGGATTATTTGGGTATCACCTATGGATTATTTTGTGATTATGGAGTACAAGTCTGGTCGTTTGTCCCTCCAAACAATCCCTTAGAGATGCTTTGCGGTGTACAACTAGACCCAGCACTCTGCTCTATTGGGAAAAGGCTAATTCTTCATATCATGTTCAACCACATTCAATAATTGTTTATTGTCATGGGCGGATTTTCTGGGGTGTGTGTGTGTGGGTGTGTGGGGTGGGGGGGGGTGCAAAATCGACCTACTGTATGTTTATTATTACACATTACATAATATACAATATTGCTTTTGATTGGCCTACAGATCATTCTCAATATTGTGTAATGACGTCACACCCTGCAGATGTAGTTTTCTGAAAGTATTTGCCACACAGGCAAGTATTGACATTGATTTTACATAGAATACAAACAATGAAAAAGAAGAGCAGAATAGAAAAAATAATAATCAAGAATAACCTGATAACATTAATCACCGATGTTGTCGTCTCTCTCTGCGGAATTCTTCTGTAGCCTATGCTGTCGAGCACATCAAGAGTATCATCTTGTGTTAAAATAGACTGGACCTCTTCATCAGTTTTGGCATTTGCAAGCTTAATAACAATAAAAATACTTTTTTTAAAAAAGAAATATAAGTCTCCAGTAATGATAGTATTACTTAAAAATACAAACATTAACTTGTACAATTTGCACAAATTACTAGTGACCCACTGACCCTGGAGCAAACCGGAACAGAATGTTTTGAGTATATTACCGGCAGCAGTATCTTATATATACTTACAGTATATGTTTACTGGCAGTACTCTACCACTGATTTCGAACTTGTAGACCATAAAGTGGGGCACATTGGGTGTATTGCCAGCTAATGGGTTAATTATGTCAATAGTTTAAGTACTAGAGAAGATTACTGTACACTGTACATCTTTATCAGCTGACATATCATCATTTTGATAAAAGATAAAACAGATCCCTACATTTTTATGGACAATAATACATGCTTTAGTTTGCTTTCTATTTCTGTAATTCCTAACTGTACAGTAATCAACAAATGAAAAACTTACATTTTTTGCAATATTCTTGCTCACGATGTTAGTATTTTTATCTGGGTCCAAAGTTGTTCTACTGATATATGCATACACTTCTGAATCTAAGAAGTTTGGTGCAGGGCCTCCTTGTAGAATTGAAATTACCATTAATTTACCAGCAATTCGGAATTGCAGGGAAGAAAGAGCAATCACGGACTTCACTGGCCATCCATTCAAAAATAACATCCGCTCTGCAAGTTCCAACATATCTAAACAACAAACAAAAATAAACATGTCCTTTAACGAAAACAGAAGTGGATCAAAAACCTGAACACACATTACAGTAATTAACAATAGATACCATATTGCAAATGTAATGAGTTGAAATGTAACAAATTATCTTTTATTGGCTGAGGAATGAAATAGGTGGGAAATGTTTATATACTGTGGGTGGAAAATAATGGGAGAAGTTACTAAGTTAGTTTCCATCAATGGACAGTTTAGGTATGTGATGCATTAGACAGATTCACTGGGGGATGCACAAGTCCAGGGGCGCACATTCGAAAAAAATTTGGGGGGTGTCCTATGTTCTTGGACCGACTTTTGTAGTATTTATGTTTGGTTAGAAAAGCTAACTATTTAAAGCGCATAGACGGTAAGATGGGGATAGCATTCCAGGAGTTTAAATAAACGTTCAGTTTTTCAGAACTTTTGCAGTGGTCTTAAACCTTTGGAGTTTGGAGGGGAGGAGGGGTCAAAATTTTTATGGATTTCGAGGAAAATTTTGAATTTCTAGACTCATTAAAACGCTATTTCACATATTTTAGGACGAGGTTTGAAGAAAAGTTACAATCACAAAAATGCATTTTTAAGTCGCCTAATGTTGTTAGATCGAAAAAATATTTATGTAAAATATAGTATTTTACACGCAAATACTCAACAGCAAAATAGCATCATGTCTTCGTTTTTGTAGAAGTCGGTCATGAGCGTTGCTTCGCAAATTCAAGTTCAAATGTGCTTTAAAATAACCATGCATAGGCATTTTTACTGGAGTTAGAATTCTAGGTAGGGAAGACTTCAACTTTTATTGGCAAGCAGAAGAGATGGGTATCATTATTC